ACGGGTCACGGAGAGGGAGGGCGGGAGGGAGGACGGGCTGAAGTTTTCGCAGGCTCTCGTCGGTCCCCGTTGGCTTTCCGGCAGCGGAAGCTCTCCAGCAGCGGCACCTCGCCGAGAGCGCTCCGGGGGAGCTCGGCTCGTCCTGAGCGGCCCGCCGGAGAGCCGAGTTAAGTGACCCGAGAGCAACGGGGCAACGCCAGGCGGGTACGGGCTCAGGGGGGGACGCATCAGCCCCCGACGGCGCACTGATAACCAATAGGGGCACGATGGCCCATCCTGACCAGCAACGTGGGTTTACTAAAGGGAGGGTTGTCCACCGCCGAATGAGGGGCACATCGCCGACCTATCGGCGATGTATCGCCGAGTCCAGCTCGATGTTACTCCCCTGAGCCGTTCTAGCCCCTAGCTTCCCCCCCCCAAAGGACCCAGAAATCGGTACGATCGAGATGAGCACGGAAAGATTTGCCACGAAGACTGACAGCAGTTCCCCATCCGTTTTGACGAGGGCTCGCTGCAGGCGTCGCCACGGGGCGCTGTCCACTTGGGACGACCAAGCGCCCGCCCAACAGCGGCCGCCGTCGGTCTGGGCTCGCATTTGCCGGTGGGCGCCGTGGCCGTTCGCTCCGTGCCCATGTCAGGCGTGCCAGTGTCGGGTCGGGCGAAAGGGGGGGATTGGGAAAGGGGGGGTTACGAAATTTGCTGCATGCAGCTGGTTTCGGCCTCACCGAGGGGCCCATTCCTCGATACATGGCCGCTCCCGGCGCCGGGAGGCGCCGGGAAAATCAGCTACGTGAGCTGATTCTCAAACCCCCCCTTTGCTATCCCCCCCCTTTCGCCCGACCCGACAGTGCGGGGAGGTGGAGCCTCGCAGCACGGGCTCGGCACCACGCCTGCAGCTCCAGCCCCCGAGGCAGAGCACAGCCTGCGGGGGCGGGGCCCCCTGTGCTGGGCGGCGCAGCCCACGCAGGCCGTACTCTGCGACGCTCGAGCCTCAGGGTGGCCACCCGGAGATCTCCAGGGAGTCCCTGGAGGCAAGGAGGCTTCCGGAGGCCACGAGGGAGCACAAAAAAACCCGCTGAGAGAGGGTCGAACGTCGACCTCCTCGGGCCGCGGTCCTGAGTGGTTGGCGTCCCCCGCCGTACCTGGCAGCACCAGCACTCCAGAGGCAGGAGGGCACAAAGCTCGAGGAGAAGAAATACTGGCATAACATGTATTCTGGATGGGGCAGAGATCGCACCCCCCCATCCTTGGGTCCGTTGGGGGTGTTGGGCACGTGCTGTCGAAACGAGTGGAGGGGGGGATGGAGGAGAAGGAGGAGGAGAAGGAGGAGGGGGAGGAGGAGGCGGAGGAGGAGGAAAAGGAGGAGGGGGATGATGAGGAGGAGGAGGAGGAGGAGGAGGAGGAGGACGAGGAGGAGGAGGAGGGGGTGGAGGAGGGGGAGGAGTGGGGATGGGCAAGCCCCGTCGGAAGGTTAGTCGCCCACCCCTCGTTTGATAGCCCATGCAGAGTCAGCTTGCGGAGCTCCGTGCGGATTTCGCGGATCGGCGCTAGGCCCCCGTACTATTGGCACGCGCCGAGAGCGCGCCAGGGGGCGGCGCCGCCCCAGGGCCGATCCGGGAAGAACTCTGCGAGGAGCTCCGAACGTTTACACTTAAGTCGGGCCTGTCCTTCCACAGGAGGAATATTCATAAATAGTCAAACATAGTCTGGGGACCATTTTTCATGATGTTTGATCATTTTGGGCATGTTTGGGATATGTTCCATTAGTCTTCCAAAATCCGCCTCTAGGAGGACATGCCCGACCGAAGTTTTTCTCAAGACGACATACCCATCGATCGTTAAAATTTGTATTTTGGGATTCTCAGGTTCCAATCTGCTTTAAGCGCCTTCCTACTTCAATGATCGACTGGCTTCCCCTCTTCCCTCCTCTTCAGGGGGCGGGTGGAGACCCACTCTACTTCAAACGCCTTCCTACTTCATGTTTCTAGCTACTTCTTCTGACCGATGGGCCATTCAGTTCGGTGCCTTTCTTTTCCTCAAAACGGCATGCGCCTGAATTTTGGGAGGTCCGCGCGGCTCGGTCGATGCTGAACGATCGGACATGCCGGAGACGACCGATCGATCAAGCTTGAACGATCCCTGCAGTGTCAGGAACCAACGCCGAGGTCGGCACCACACGAACCCGCGCTATGGACCGCAGCTCCCCCGGTTGTGGGCCCGCCAGCTGCCCCCCCACACGCAGCCCCTCGCAGGCCCGCGCGGACTGCCCCGGTCGGTGCCGAGCCTCCCCATCCCAGCTGTCGGCGGGTGCGGGGGAGGGGGGCCCGGGGCCCCGGCCCGAGAAGGCCGCGCGGGCCTCCCGAAGTGCACCCAGGGGGGGCCGGGTGCACACGGCGTGGCCGGCCTGGGCAGGAGCTGGAGACACGCGTCGCCATGGTCAACTGCACGTAAGAGTGACCCCTCGCCGCCAGAGTGGCCTTTGGTGCGGGCTCGTTGGGATCTCACGATCGTTGATCAAGATGGGGTAGCAGCGGCTTGTGCGCTTGGTCCCCCCGCGGCCCAACAACAGTCCGCGCACCAAAGGTCACTCTTAATTACCCGGGGTCACTCTTGCGTGTAGCCGACATGGGGGAAACGGTTCCTGAGGGAAACGGGCCCTCGGATTTTGCACCGTCTGCGGGCTCCCGAGGCCCTCCACGGGCCCCGGGACTGCCAGGAAACGACTCAGGATGAAGGGCTGGCCCCGGGTCCAGGACCCAGTTCCCTCAGGACACGTTCCCCAGTGCTAAACGTGGCGGGTTCCAGAATCAGGCCTCGCCCGCGAGGATCGAAGGAGTTGGCTCTTCCTCGGCGGAAGGCGGCGCGGAAGTGGAACGAGGGCGCCTCTGCCAGCAGAAGGCGGCGGGAGGCTGGCGGAAATAGAAGATGCGCACCCCCAGGAGACGGCACCATTTTAGGGTTCAGAGATTTCAGAGGCGGCCACGTGGCCACAGGTCTTTCTAGCGCTCGGCCCTCGTGTGGCCAGGCACGGTGATCCTCCACAGCGCGTGTATCCAGCAGCGCAGCCTCCGGAGGGTCCTCGCGTGAACCCCCAGAGTTCCGACGTCGTGTTCTGTTTGTCCTACGTATCGTAGACGCCGCCTCTGCATGCCGAGTCGGTTTTCGAAGTTCCCGGGGTCCAGAGATGGCCCTCGGTGACCGAGGATTGCCCACAGCCTTCCGTCGTGATGTTCTCGCAGCTCGCGGAGGTGGGAGTCCAGCCACGTGTAATGCCAGCCTCCCGGCCTGGGCAAGAGCTGGGTACACGTGGCCACATGTCTTTACAGCCTTTCCTCCTCCTCCTCCTCCTCCTCATCCACCTTCTCCTCCTCCTCCTCCACCTTCTCCTCCTCCTACTCCTCTTCCGTAGCCATTTTGGCTCAAGGTTGAAACCTGCCCTGGGGCTTCAGCCTTGTTGCAGGCGACAGGGAGGCCCGAACCTTCCGAGGCCAGGACGCCTCTCTCTTTCCCGTCGTGCGCCCCAGCACGCTCCCAGTTTTGGCTACAACGACGTGCTCTGAGGCGCCATGGGCCCTGCCGCCTGCGACCGCCCGCACCCTGCCCAGCATCGTCTCGATGGTGGTGATGATGTTGATACGGAGATCGCTTCCTCTGGTGGCCGTGATTCCTCTGTTGAGCAACGCCGCTCGGCCTCTAGGAGCGGTGGCAGCCGAGGTGCCCGTCGTGCCGCTCGCGCTCGGCCTTCCTCCCACGGCAACGCTGGACCTGCTCCTGAGCCTCCTCGCCGTGCTCGCCGTGCTGGTCGTACTCGTGGCTCTGGCGGGGACGTCCCACCTTCTCCTGGTGCTGCTGCCTCGCATCGGGGCCCCGACCCTGCAGCACAGGGAGCATCTCGGGGTGCTGTCTCCAGCCTTGGGGCTCAGGCTATGCCCTACGAGGAGTGGGATGATGCCAAGCGGGCACAAGTGGCTGCAGACCTGGAGATGGCCGCTACCTTCCCGTCGCAGGAGATGCGCCACGACCTGCACGCCACCCCGCAGGGCCCCGCTGCTGGGCTCTTTGACCCATGGGCCGCGGCGGCGGGGGCTGGCGCTCCCTCGCGGGCTCAGGCTGCTGCTGGTGGTGCTGTTGACTGTGGTGATGAGGAGGAGCAAGCCGCCTTCACTCGGGCCTTTTACCATGCCGACATCTCCGCGAGATTCCTGCAGCTGCGCAGTGAGTTCGACAACATCGTTACCACGGCCATCACCAACTCCGTCCAGCAGTCGAACGCTCCTATCTTGGCCACGCTCACCACACTGCAGAAGCAGCTCTCCTCGCAGCACACCTCCATCGATCAGCAGGTCATGTCATCGGTGCGCCCTCAGTTCGATGCTATGCAGCGACAGTTTCAAGAGCAGCATGATGCCCTCTGCCGTCGCGTCGATTACAACGAGCGGGACATCGAGGCCCACGCCGCTCAGCTGGCTGAGCTACAGAAGCAGGTCGAAGAGCTCCGCCGCCAGAATGAGTTGGACCGACAGCTACCTTCGCGGCCACCTGCCCCGCCTGGCTTCGACCGCGAGATCGATCCGACGCAGGTCATTGTGGTCTCGTCCAAGCTCGTCGGTCTGGCTGGCGTCCGTGAGGTGGTCAACTCCCTCATGGGTGAGCTCAACTTCTCTGAAGACGACTCGTACACGATCAAGGCACTCACGCCGCTCCCTTCCAAAAAGTTTGCCGTCTGCTTCTCTGGGCCGATCGGACTTGCCTCCCGCCGGGTGCAAAAGGCCCTTGCTAACCTCAAGACGGACGGCGCCTGGCGGGTCTTCCAGTGCCCGGCTCAAGGTGCTGACCCAGCCCGTCTTCACTTCGGTCCCGACAAGTCGCCGAAACAAGTTCGTGGCGAGATGCTCCTGCGTAAGGTCCGATCTTCCCTCATGGAGCATGACAATCAGAGGAGGTGGTACGTCGATCGGGAGCGGAGCGTTCTCAAGTCTGACTACACCGACATCCTTCGTCTGGTTCCACGGCCAGGTGACGAACCTCCTGAGATCTCTTGGAACGACGTGGGGATCCGTGCCCTTGGCCTTGACCGTCGGGACCTTCAGGGAGCCATTCGAAACATCACTGCTGCGCCGACGGCCACCCAGTGGTGTCTTTAGCGCCATTACCAGTATGTTTGTGCTTCCAGTGGGGCAGGTCGGCGGAGAGATCACAGCCAGCCTCACATTCATGACCTGGAATGCACGTGCTCTTCTTCAATTTGGTGGGGCGAGGGCCTCGCCTAAGCTATCTTACCTAAGCAGATTGCAGCCTGGGCGATCCATCTTGGCTCTCCAAGAAGTGCATGCAGATCGGTTTGAGTTGAACGACTTTGTGACAAGGCTTTCTTCCACGGCCATTGTCCACAGTAGCTTTTGTGAAGATGACGATGGAGAGGTTGTCCGCGGCTCTGGGGGAGTTGCAGTCATTCTTCCTCCTTTCTCATCTACTTCGGTCAGTAGCTGTGCGGTGCCTCTGGTCAGAGGCAGGGTGCTTCGTGTTGATGTGGCACTTGGGCATACACAGCTGGTGATCTTCAACGTTCACAATCACGGCTTGACCAAGGGTGAGGTACAATCTGTCTGTGAGCAGATCGGTTGTGCTCTGCGTCGCGCTACTGATGACCCTCTATCGTACTTTGTGGTTGTCTTGGGGGACCTCAACTACAGTTTCGATTCTTCTCTTATCTTTCACCGACCTACTGGCGTACAGCGGCAGCAGACCCATGATCATAAGGTTCATGCTCCAATTTGGGCGGCTACACTTGGCAAGATGATGGAAGTTAACTCAGAAGCGGCTACCCGCTTCTGCAAGTTCACCAATTCCATCAACATCATCGACCGCTTCTTCTGCTCTGCCACAGGCTGGATGATGTGTCAGCTCATGACCGAGGTCAACACGTGGACACGCCAGAGCACCTGAGCTCCCAGGGCATCTCTGATCATGCTGCTCTTTCGATTCGGCTGCGACTTCGTGGTGCGCGTCCTGCCTCTGAGCGGCCCATTCCCAAGCACATCTTCACCTCTGTTGCCTTTCAGCGCCGACTCCGAGGAATGGTTGCTGATAGTGATGAGGATTTGCTCCGATGGAGCCCACCTGTGGCCACAGAGCACTATAAGTACATGATGAAGGAGGCCGCCAGGGAGGCCCGCAACATCCTCTTCTACTCGGCCCCTGACTTGCCTGGGACGCTGCAGCTGGTTGCTCGGGGGATAGCACGAGCTGTGCGGCGTCAAGATGCTGCCCTCGCCCTCAAGCTCATCGAGACCTCCCAGCACGCCGCCGACGCTCTGACAGTCGACGGCCAGGTCGTCTCGCTGCGCCACGCCCCGTCCTTCGAGCAGTGGGCTGCTGGAGTGCATCGGCTGGTCTACGAAAAAGAACTTGCTGCTGCTGCTGCTGATCGTGCTCCATCAGGCTCCTCCTCTGCTTGGCGGCCTAGTTCGGCCACGCTTCTGCGAGCTCTCGAGAGGAAGGCCTCCATATGGGCCCCGTTTTCGAAGCGCCTGATGCTGTCCGCGGTCAACACCCCAGAGGGCCCCATCTCAGAGGTTCGGGAGCGCACTGCGGCCCTGGCGGCCTACTGGACCCCTGTCTTCTCCCAGAAAGAGCCCCACCCTGTCATGACCCAGATGTACCTCGATAGGTTCCTCACCAAGGCCTCCGACATTGACCTGCACTGTCCTCTGACCTCAATGTTTCGGAAGGTTCTCCGGCGTGCCCGTCACTCTGCTCCTGGTGTCGACGGGCTGCCCTACGCGGCCTGGTTGGCGTGCGACTATGGCGCCCAGCACCTGGCCAGAATGTTCGGGTGGCTATGCCAAGGTCAGTCGTTGTTCGCCTCCGCCAGCGTCACCCTCCAGGCGTTTCTCCCCAAAGGGGTTGACGACTCAGATCAGCCGTCTGGGATCTGTTCTCGGTCTCCTGATAAGATACGGGTCCTGGGGCTGCGAAACACCGACGTTAAGATCCTGAGCTCGGTCATGAATCGGGTCCTCGAGCCTGTCGTCCAAGCCGTGGCGCCTGCTTCCCAGCGAGGCTTCATCAGAGGACGGAATTTCTGCCATAACGTGCTTGAGCTTGATGTCCATGCTCGGCTTGCTTCTCAACATCCCCTTGCTCAGCGCCGCCCCCCTGTCCTCGTCGGGTTCGACTACGGGCAGGCCTTTCCGAGCTTGTCGCAGGCCTTCTTGCTACAACTGTTGGGCTCTCTTGGGCTCCCCGTCGAGGTTCTTGCTTTCGTGGGATGGATGTATTTGGCAGTGGAAGGCGTGGTCCATGATGGGGGACGCTACGCGACCATCTTCTGGATCCGCTCGGGCATCATCCAGGGCTGTGGTCTCTCGGGGTCTTTATATGCTCTCGCCTCCTCTCCCATGCTGGCCGACCTCGAGCGGAGCATCGAGCATCGTCGACTGGGGATATGCCGTGCTTGTGCCGATGATCTAGGCGCTGTCCTGTATGAGCTGGCCTCTCTGCGTATCCTGGTGCGGGTCCTTGGTGTCATGGAAAAGATTGCGGGCCTCAAGATTAAGATCAGCAAGTGCACCCTGGTCCCTCTCGTTGGCGGCATGACCGAAACCCTGAAAACTATGACCCAAGCCCAGCTGGCCTCGATCGCGGGTGCCTGGTCAGGCTTTGCTGTTGAGGGGTGGTTACTTTATCTTGGGATGATTTTGGGCCCTGATGCGACGGTCGACATGAACTGGAGGGGCCCGCTCATGAAGGCACGATCTCGCTCTCGGATGTTGGGACGTGGGGTTGCGTCGGTCTGTACTAACTGTATCTTATACCGCACGCGGGTTTATCCTTGTCTGGCCTATGTTGCACAATTCCTTCCTATGCCCGAATGGTTCCTGCCCATTGAGCGTGGTGCTATCGCCCAAGTTCTTCGTGCTCCCCTCGGCCTCTTTTCGAACGAATCGGTCCTGGAGCTCCCGGCCTGGGGTGGTCCTCAGATCCCATCGTGGGCTGCCCATGCTACTGCTGCTCACCTTCGTGCTGCTATTCACACCTTCCAGGGCTATGAGGAATACCTGCGGCTGCTGCGGCAAACGGCTTCGCTTTGGCACAGAGAGGTCGTGGAGGGGAAGTTTGACGCTATCCCTTTGGCTTCTATGGATCGCTCTCGTGTTTATCCAGCTTTCTGGAAATCCCCAGCGTTTGTCGAACACCTTGAGCTGGTCCACGTGAGGTCTCAGGAGCCCCTACTTGTCGCTGCTCGCTCGGCTATTCGTGAGGAAGCTGAGGTTACGACACGAAGACCCAAGCTACAACGTGCGGCTGCTCGCTCACTGGGTCAGAATATGTGTATGCACAAACCTCTGCACGCTATGCTGATTCGCCACTTAACCCCGCTCTTCACGGCTTACCACCCCTTCCTCAACCAGATTCACTGGCCCGCTATTCAGGAGCTTCTGGCGCTGGTCCCGCAAAGCTGGGCTATGGCGGCCTTACGGACTTGGGGGCATGGATGGCTGACGTCCTATAGGATTATCCACCCACGGGGTAAACTTCGGTGCCGTTTCGGATGCCCTAGCCCAGATCGGCAGCAGCATTATCTCCGCTGCCCTAAATTGTACCAGGCTGTCAGCAAGGGACTACAACGTGCCCTGCCTCGTCCCCTGGCTCAGCGTCTTGGCCTTACCCATCCCCACCCTGACCACTTCGAGGCTCTCTATGTCTATTACCAGGTCTTCAACCATGCTCGGCAGGGTGCGTTGGTGTCGACTCCTCGTCAGCTACGCGGTTATGTTGAGGCCGCCGTCCGCACCTCTCGTCTGGCCAGACCTTCGGACAAGTTGAAACGGTGGGAACCTCCTCCCGATGTCCAGGCGACCCGCCGCAGGCAGCCTCAGTGGGATGTGCTCACTTCCTCGTCCACCTCCAGTGTGAGCTCCGACGCCGCGGCCCCTCTCCCAGGCCTGGTCCCACCCACTCCGTCTGACGACGAGGTGTGGCATAGTCATTCGATGCGCGGTGGTGCTCTTTCGGGTTCTCCCACGGGCTCAGATGAAGACGGCCAACCTGCTCTCCAGCCAGAGTTCCCTGTGCCCCTGTCTGCTGGCGCTTTGGCTCAGTGCGAGGCCCTGCCTTCAGGGCAGGTCGCGAACGTGCGGGCGCCCGTTTCCGCGGCAACCTCGCCGCAGCCTGCGGCATCCATGTTCTCGTGGCCGCTGACCGCCACCGTGGCGCTCTCCGCGGTCCGTGCAGCGGCGCTGAGTGTCCCAACCACATGTGAGGCTGATGTGGCACGGCTTGAGCGTGAATATCGAGCGACTATCAAGCGTGTCGACCGCCTTCGTGCTGGTGGGCTTCCTGTTCGAGAGGACCCTGCTCTTCCTGAACTGCCGTGGTGCCCTAGCGCTGCCACCCCTCCGATGTCGACGCCGTCACCTGGGACTCCTGTTCTGAATCTTGCTGGCCATCCACACTCTACCTCTGCGGAGCATGCACCGCCAGCTGTCTTTGCCGAAAGTATTGCTGCGAGGGCTACGCGCTGGGTCTTGCGCCTGGATGACCCCGAGAGTGGCTGTGCTGACTGGTGGCTGTGGTGCATCCCGTACGTGCGCGCCAAATTAGATGCGATGGAATGGGTGGATTCTTCTGGTTGGAGTGGCACACTCGACGAACTCGCTCGTCATATTTGCTCGGTTGCCTGGGACACTTCTCGTGAGGGGCGCCTTAACATTGTGGCATACCTTCGGTGGCTGAATGAGCCTCGCCACGCCTTGACTCGACACGAGCGATGGGAGGAGGCGGCTGATCGACATTACCAGGCACTTCGTGAGATACGCAGAGAGATGAGGCAATACATGGGACTGGCTGCACCACAACGTGTACGCGACCTCCTTGTGGACAGCGATGGTGTCGAGGTCCTGCCCACCGTTACTTCCAACGGAGCGGTCCGCTACCTTTCTGTACTGGTCTCAACAATGGAATCTGAAGATGGTGATGACGCCGATGGAGATGGGGACGTCGACCCTGCCTCTTTCCTTCTCCAGGTTTCTGCTGCAGGGTGCTCCTCGAGCCCTGCGGCCACTGGCGTTAGATCGCGGAGGTCGACCGCCTCTGATGGAAATAACGGCTCTGGAGTAAGTTGCGAGCCTTTGTCTCGAGTTCGGAGGTCGACCGCCTCTGATGTAAATAAGGGCTCAGGAGTAAGTTGCGAGGTCACGTCTCTTGCTGGCGTCAGTACGCAAAATCCTGGGGGTGGGTGCTCCTCGAGCCCGCCTGCCCAGGTTCCCCGAGTATATTGCGAGCCTGAAGTCTCTACTGGAGTAAACTGTGAGTATGGAGATGCGAGCGGACGATCGTCTGACGCTGATCGAGTGAGTTCATGTGGGAGAATTGCGTCGTCTGGGACAGTTGGGTGGACGTCATCGGTTGAGCCCTCTCGGCTGGTGTCGTGCTCGAGGTCGATGACGCTGTCTACCCCAAGGGCGCAGGCTGAGCTCGGCCAGCTGCGCTTTTCCCCTGCTTCCCCACCCTTCCGCTCCTACCCTCCCCCTAATGTACGGCGTCGCTGCATTTTGGCGACGATCCCAGTCAAGTGTGTTGGCCCCCCTGGCCATCTCACCCATGTGCTCTCTGCTCCTGTCGTGCGCCCTACCATCCCGCTTCGTCTCAGTTCCCCTGTGCATGGCTGGCCGCCAGCTCCAGATTCGCCCATAATCCCTCCTGGCGCTGCTTCTCTGGGCCTTTCCTATCCCTGTCCGTCGCTCGTGAGCTCTGCCCTTGCTACTGCTTGCGCCTCCCCTGCTCCTCTCTCGAGCTGTCATCGCTTCATGCCTCCCGCTACGAATCAAATTGCACCGATTGAAATACTCCGGCCGCCGTGCACACCTACGGCCGCGCCGACTTCGTGGGCAGCTGGAGGTGCGCCCACGCCCACCCGAGGCGCCGCCCCCGCGCCTGGCCGCGTCGGCTAGTGGGACGCGGACCTCCCTCTTTACGCTCGTCTCCTCCTACTCCTCTTCCTTCTTCTCCCCCTCCTCCTCCTCCGTCTCCTCCTCCTTCTCCTCCTCCTTCTCCTTCTCCTCCTCCCCTTCCTCCTCCTCCCGCTCCCCCCCTCGCCGTAGGCTCCGCTCGGTCCTCGCAGGACCAGGCACGATGATCCTCCACAATCCGTGGCTCCAGAGGTTCCGACGCCTTCCTTTGGGTTGGGCGTGTGCTCCTACAGGCGGATTTCGGAAGAAAAACGAAAGAGAGCCCCCCCAAAAAAATTACGCGACCGAGGAAGCCCACATACTTTTGAAACAAGTATGTGGGCTAGTGCGGTTCACGCAGGACACAAAAAATGTTTGTGTCCTGCGTGAACCGCACTACCACTACCACCGCCACCATGCTCTCTGGTGCCCCCTGCGGCCGCGCTCAGAGACCACCTCCTTCGCACCCCCCTATGGTGTCGTGAAACTGCCACGCCTGCAAGGCTTTGCGACAGTGTCGTGCATAGCGGCCGCGCTCAGAGACCACCCCCTGCGCACCCTCTACGGTGTCGAGAAGGTGCCAGGCCTGGTATGCCCTGGACGGCAGGCACACAGCGGCCGCGGATAAGGAGACCACTCCTTGCGCACCCCCTATGGTGTCGAGAAAGCGCCACGCCTGCTGTGCCCCGGACGACCGGCGCGGATAGGGAGACCACCCCCTGCGCACCCCCTATGGTATCGAGAAAGCGCCACGCCTGCTATACCCTGGACGACCGGCGCGGATAGGTAGATCATCCCCTGCGCACCCCCTATGGTATCGAGAAAGCGCCACGCCTGCTATGCCTGGACGACTTGGGCGTGCTGTGTTGTGTTGTGCTGTGCTGTGTTGTGCATTGCTGAGCTGTGCTATGATGTCCTGTGCTGTGCTGTGCTGCGGTCTGCTGTCTGCTGTGCTGTGCTATGCTGTGCTGTGCTGTGCTGCGCAGGTGGTGTCTGTGCGTGTGTCTGTGTGTTTGAAGAGAGGGAGAAGGAGAGGAGGCGGGTGAGGAAGACGCGGGTGCGGCGCGGCATGGAAGAAAACCAGAACCCCACGAAACATGTGGGGAAAAATAATCAAAAATAGTAGAACAATCTGTCCTAACTTATTTTCTAGCCAACAATAGTAGAACAATATTTCCCAGATTATTTTCTCCAATTTTTGAACATTCCTCCGATAGAGGGACATGCCCGACTTAACCTTTCCCTGGGAATACTTTTCACTCCCAGACCCGTTCTTGATGGCCCCAGGGCCCGAAAACGGGCCCCAGAGGCAGACATCGAGGGGGAACGCTGGGATTGAAAATCACATCGTCGGAGATCTGGGTGTGAATCCGGCCATGTACGACTCCAGCTCCCTGCAAGTTGTGACTCGCCACTGGCGTCCCGCTGGAGGGTTCTACTTCTGATGAACAGCAGCAGAAGTGCCCCACAGGGGGGGCCGGGGGAGCCCAGGGACGCCCGGTCCAGAGGCGGTGCGGCAGCCGTTCTCCCGAGATGGCCTGGGAAGTCGTTCAGGAGTTGTGCTCTCGCCGCAGTGCCGCCTACACTCGAAGAAGAAATCGGCATAAACGTCAATTGTTGGCGCTCCGCGCGGATGTCTTGGATCCACGCTGGGCCCCCCCGGCGGCGCCTCCGGCGCCGCCTTTGGCGCGCTCCGCGCGCCAGGGGAGGGGGGTCCAGCGCAGATCCAAGACGTCCGCGCGGAGCGCAACAGTTTATGTTTATAGCGCTGTTTCTTCTTCGAGTGTAGTGGCAGCTCGGCGAGAGCACAGTTTTATGTTCACGCGGAGCGCCAGAAGTTTATGTGTATGCAATTGTTGTGTTTCTTCTAGACACGTGCTGTCTGGATGGCCACGATGCCAGGCTAAAAGCTTACACTGGAGGTGCTCAGGGCCGTGCTCCCGCCCCTGCCCAGAACGTCCCGCTTTCTTTCCCTTCTTGCTGCCATCCACTGGGGTGCTCTGCTGGGGTCCCGGAGCCCCTCGCGTCGCGAAAAAGTCGTGGCGGGAGGTTTTATGCTATTTCGGTTTCCAGGGGCCTTGGCCAGGCCTCAGGACCGTCAAAAAACGACTCAGGATGAAAAACTGGTCCTCGGGGAAAGGGTCCAGACCTTTGGGGGTCACGTCGTAAGAGAATCACGACGTCGGGGGTCTGGGGTAATCCTCGCAACGCGAGGAGGTGGTGGTCTAGCAGCGTGTGCCTCAGCTTCCCAGGACTCCGCCGTGTTTTTTTGGTTTCCATGACATGGGGCTCCAGAGATCTTGACCCTTCCCAGGCCCTCGAGGTGGTGTTTTTTTCCGTGATTCGGCGGCGAGCGAGTGGGGGGGAAGTGAGAAGGAGAAGGCCTTCTCAGAAGGCGGCGGGACTTCTCAGAAGGCCTCCTGCCTTCTGGGGAAGGCTTGGAAAACTTCTCAGAAGTCCCGGGAACTTCCGAGCCTTCTGAGAAGGCCTTCTCCTTCTCACTTCCTCCCTGGGCGCGCCGCCTGATGATTTGGGACTTCCACAGGTTTCGAACCCTTCCCCGGGACTGGCCTTTCGGCCCGACTCGTTTCGCGGTTGGCGGTCCCGTGGCCCGACCCGGGGCCCGCGGCGGCCGACAAACGGGCGGAACACTTGCCGCCGCGATTTTTGCTGCGCGACGCGCGGGGGCCTGGCTTCTTACGTTGCACATTCGAGGGGCCTCGCCTGTCCCCAAACTTCGAAGGTGGATAGACCTCCTACCCTGACACGTCGATTTGTGAATTGGCCGTTTTCGGTTCGCGAGAGGGCGTCGCGGCCGTCATTTTTGCGGGTCCAGGTCCGTCGGTTTAAGTCCCAGACCGTTTTCACTAAGGTGAGGTTTACTAAAGGGAGGTTTGTCCACCGCCGAAAACTCCGTGTCTTTTCTTGCGCCCGACGCGGGCTCGATGCGGAATCGACGCGAATCTGGCGTGGTCTCGACCCGGACCCGACGCGGATGCGGCACGGATCCGACGAGCCCGATATATATATATATATATATATATATATATATATATATGTATGGATTCGGCGCGGTTTCGACGAGGAGGGGGCCGCGACGGGACAGATTGGCCGGTCTGTACAGTGGAGACCCACGCCAAGAAACACCCTGCTTGCCTCCACGGTGCACTGGGTTTCTTGGGTTTCGATGGTTCTGCCGTGGAAAGCGTGACGTCCCCACACTGAAAGTCAATGGACGTCCTGGGGCCAGACCCCAGGCTTTCAGAAACCCAACCCTGAGACTCTCAAGGTTGGGTTTCTTGTGGAAGGTTTCCTGTGGACTGGCCTCCCCTGTACTGGCCACTCTGCCTGCCGATTTGGGGGCGCCTCCACGAGGTGCCCCTCTGAGCGCCCCCCAGCCGCGCGGCGAGCTCGGCCGCGCGCGGCCGGCCGGCCCCTCGGGGGCAGTGCGCAGCTGACGGGCGCCCCGGGCGGGGGGAGGGCTGCCCGCGAGGCGTTGTCGACCGGCTCGAGTCGCCCCTCCTCTCAGATGCCCTGCTATCCAGAGGAGGAAACCGTGCCCATACCCCTACCCTCCGCCCGTTTTCCCCCTCTCTGGGCCTCCTGGGAGGCCCTCGTCGTCACCGCTGGATTCGCTTCGAAATTTTAGTCAGAGCACATCCTGGGAGAGTTCTGTGGAGTAGCTCGGTACTTTTTGGTCCCCCCAGGGACGCCCGTGTTTCGAGTAGGGGATCGACTACAGGATTGATTGACCCCAAGATAGGTCTTGTCCGTAGAATATACGACGAATGCATAGAATGTTCCGTAGACCTACGGAGCATTCTACGTATTTTCGTAGACTCGATGAGACATCGATTTGGGGGCGAATCAATTCTGTAGTCAATCCGCTACTCGAGTGTCCCAGCCACGCGCAGAGGGGAGCAGGGGGAGGGGGGAGGCTTCTCAGCAGGAGGCTTCCCCCCCTGCTTCCTCTGCGCGCCGCCAAATGTTGAGACGCAGCACGTGCCGCACTCAACACTGCCGTGTTGACCCGCTGCGTGTTGGCTCGGCGCGTGTTGGCCCGCGTTCTGGCGAACGTATCGCGCCAGGCCTACGGCTTCAGCCTGCGTGTTGAGCTCCGTGCCGCCACGCTGCGGGCTGCGTGTTGCGCACCGGGCCGGCTGCGGCCTCTTCTGCCCCTCGGATCTCGCGACGGAGAACAAACGGCGTAAATGTACAGCCGGGGCCCTGCAGAAGGAACCCTTTTCGTTGGGGAGGGGCTCGGTGTGCCTTGATTGTTCTACAGTTTGCCTTCTGTTTCCTGAGGTTTTCCATGGGAAATCGAAATTCAACTTCTGGAGAAAAGGGGCCTCGTTCCTTATTTAGGGTTCCTTAGGTCAGCGCCCCGACTGTACAATCTCGGAGCCCCGCGCGGATGTGTTGGTTCGGCGCTGGGCGCCCCCTCCCTGGAACGCGCGGAGGCGCGACGGGGGCCGCGCCGGAAGCGCCGCCAGGGGCTACTAGCCCAGCGCCGGGCCCAGAAGTCCGCTCGGAGCTCCGGAAGGTTCGGTTTACGCCGTCTGTGGTTCCTATTTTGGAACCCCCAAACCGGGTGGTGAGATACCAGGTGGCGACCTGGAATCCCCAAAAAGGTCACCGCTGGGTTTGGGGACGCGGGGTCACCACCGGGTTTTGTGACTCCTGGACCCCACCAGTGTCCGGGACATCCTCGGAAAACCGCACGAGTCCCCAAGCCGGGTGGTGACACCAAATCGCCCGAGACTCACCGCCAGGTGTTGTCACCACCACGTTTGGGGACTACCAATTATTGTCGGGGTCAGGGGCAACGTTATTGTGAAGGTCCTTACTGTGAAATCCGCTCGGAGCTCCCGAAGGTCCTGTTTACGCCTTCTGTTGTTCCTTTATTTTCAGGGTCAGGGGCAACGTTATTGTGAAGTTCCTTACTGCCATGGCGACGCTGTCGCCTCAGAATGCCCAGTGTGTGTGTGTGTGATATATCAGAATTGGTGATCTTTCTTTGGGCGGTGGCGCCCTTGGTGCGTCAGGAAGTGCCCTCGGTACGCTATCGAGATTTGGCAGGGGCTCACACAAGAATCGCTCGCTGGCGAAAACCTGTGCTTCGCATTGCTGAGTTTGGCGGCGTGGCGTCACAGACAGCTGTCCCACAGAACCAACGAATCGGAGCACAGAGAAGCAGGCGCAGGGGGGCATTGGTTCGGGAGACGCCACGAGAGAGAGGTGTGCAGCGCCGACCGCAGCAATCCGTTCGACTACACGTAGAAGTGACCTTTCGCCAGAGTGACCTTTGGTGCGGGCCCACTGGGATCCCCCGATCGCCGAACCCGATGCGACCGTAGCGTCTTGCGCGCCTGTGCTTGCTCACCCCGCGGCCCCAAAGAAGCCGTGCACCAAAGGTCACTCTTACCCAGGGTCACTCTTGCGTGTAGCCGATCGGCGCGGACCTCCGAGTCTGTATGAGGGTCCGGGGGGGCCCACCAGGGGCGCAGAGGAGCTGCTCCACGGCGTCCCAGTGAACACCCCCCAGGAGCGCTCCGCAACGCCCCTCGGAGCGGCCGCGGCGCCAGGTGCCTGCTCCCGACTTCGCCGACCCCCAGAGATCCGAGGGGCCACGTTATGCTTGGCATCGCTCGGACGTGTGCGTTGTTGCTCGGCAAGACGCGTCCAGGAGCATGTCGGATCCTCTCGCGGAGAGATGCGCGCACGAAGCAGGAACCTCCCTTCGCGGCAGAGAGCGAGCTGGCCCCAGCACCTCGACGCACGGGGAGCGGACGTCCGAGCGACGGCACGCAGAGAAGGGGGGAGCATCACGGGCCGCGCTGTGCTGGGACAGATCGAGGCCCGAGGTCTTCGAGCGGAGGAGGAGGAGGAGGAGGAGGAGGAGGAGGAGGAGGAGGAGGAGGAGGAGGAGGAGGAGCTCTCGGCGGCTCTCCAGCCTCGGGGCGCCTTTGCAGCAGCGGCGCCCCGCCGAGGGCGTCTGGGGAGGGGCCCGGATCCTCCCGAGCAGCCGCCGGAGGAGGGGGGCCCCGGGAGGCGGGGGTCTGTGCAGGCGGGGTCAGCCATAGAGCGCCTGATCTCGCAGGATCCCGCAGAGCCAGGGGCGCACTGACCCCCGGGGCTCGGGTGCGGGGGTCCTGCGGGATCCGGCAGGCTCCTGCAGGATCCTGCCAGGCCTGACTGGCCCGGGTCTGGAGTGGCCCGGGTCTCAGTTGGATCCCCGGACGAAATGCCGCCAGGCGTCCGAGAGGGGGCAGGAGGAGGAGGAGGAGGAGGAGGAGGAGGAGGAGGAGAGGAGGAGGAGGAGGAGGGAGGAGGAGGAGGGAGGAGGAGGGGGAGGAGGAGGAGGAGAGGAGGAGGAGGAGGAGGAGGAGGAGGAGGAGGAGAGGGCAGGCCCTCCCAGAGGAAGCACGCCGGAGGGCGATGGGCCTGGGGGGGGGGGGGAACGCATCGACCCGCACTCGCCCACGCCTCGCCCCTGGGGGGGTCCGACGGACCCACGCCGCCCAGGAGCGTGCCGCAGCGTTGTCTCGGGCCGGGCGAAAGGGGGGGATTGGGAAAGGGGGGGTTACGAAATTTGCTGCATGCAGCTGGTTTCGGCCTCACCGAGGGGCCCATTCCTCGATACATAGCCGCCTCCGGCGCCGGGAGGCGCCGGGAAAATCAGCTATGTGAGCTGATTCTCAACCCCCCCCTTTGCTATCCCCCCCTTTCGCCCGACCCGATTGTCGGGGGCCCAACTCGCCGATCCATCGGCGGCGCATCGCTGATGTGGGGGGTCGGTGCTGTCCCTCCGGGGCCAGTCCCCCTCCTGGCGTTGCCCCCGGGACACGCTGACATCACACTCGTCTTGAGTCGGGCATGTCCCTCTGCGGGAGGAGTATTCCAGAATAGTCAAAAAAGTCATGGGACGGTTTGCCGTGCTCGTTTGGGAAGGTTTGAAGAGTTGTTGCCTATAGTTCATTTTGCTTGCACAATCCCCCTGTAGGAGGACATGCCCGATGCAACAATCGTCGTGATGGAGGGGGGTCCGCGGGAAAGGGGCCCCCCAGAGGTTTGTCGCCCGCTTTCGGGCTCGGGGGGCCCTCCTGGGGCCCTCAGGACCGTCAGAAGACGACTCAGGATGAAACACTGATCCTGGGAAGAGCCCTCGGGGTCCAGGACCTGTTTCCCTCGGGACCCGCTTCATTCAGGAGGTAAAAACACGCAGACGATGAATCGTCGATGCCCAAGAAAATATTGTAAAGAATGGAAAGAGGAGGAGATAACGAGTCCCGAACATGTGGAAAAAACATCGGGGATCCTGGGATTCGTGTCTATTGCGCCCCTGCGTTCGTTCGGGGGCACTGGGGTTGGAGGATCGAGCCGACTCGGCGAGGATCGCGCCGCGTCGGCGATGCATCGGCTGCGCGGTACGCTCTGGAGCCCCCGGTGCTGTCACACCCCGACGTCGCCAGCGCATCGGCGATGCATCGCAGAGTCCGCGAGGGACGGCGGCAAAGCAGCGAGACCTCCCAGCCGGGCGCTCCTCTCTCTCTCGAGGGCCTGCCCGCCAGGGTCGCCGCGCGGCCGGCCGCTTAAGGAAGGAGTTCGCGCGAAGCCTGGAGCGGCTTGACCGCAGCTACCACTCAGCGCGCACTGGGCAGCGCGACGAGGCCGCTCGGATGGGTGCTCGCCAGGCCGCAGACGCTGAAACGAGTGCGCGCGCGTGTGTGTGTGTGTGTGTTTGTGTGTTTGTGTGTGTGTGTTGTGTGTGCTCTGTGTGTGTTGTGTGTTGTGTGTTGTGTGTTGCGTGTGGATGTGAATGCGAGTGTGTATGTGTGAATGTGTGGGAATGTCTGTGAATGTGTGTGTCGTGTGTGGTGTGTGTGTTGTGCGTTGTGTGCTGTGTGTGAATGTGTGTGTGTGTGTTGTGTGTTGCGCTTCGTGTGTGAATGTGTGTGTGTGTGTGTGTGTGTGAATGTGTGTGTGCGTTTTGTGTGCCACTCGAGGAAACAAACCGGGTGGAAACGAGGCACTTTGCTGGTCGTCCTCCACTGCAGGGGGCAGGGGGCGCAGGCAGGAAGGCCGTGCGGAGCCTCCTTCTGACACCTAGAGCCCCGCCAGGAGGAGAAGGAGGAGGAGGAGGAGGAGGAGGAGGAGGAGGGGAGGAGGAGGAGGAGGAGGAAGAGGAGGAAGAGGAGGAGGGCCGAGTGGCTTGCGACAGTGCCCCGAGCAGCGAGGGGGAAGGGGCCCCTCCTCCTGCCCACAGACGGCAGCTATGCACCACCACCGCCATGCCTGGCACTCTCCCTATGCCTCCCTCTCGTCCTCCTCCTCCTCCTCCTCCTCCTCGTCTTCCTCGTTTTCCTCCTCCTCCTCCTCCTCCTCCTCCTCGTCCTCCTCCTCCTCCTCCTCCTCCTCCTTCCTCCCTCGTCCCCTCGTCGTCGTCCTCCTCCTCCTCCTCGTCTTCCTCGTCTTCCTCGGCGCCCCAGGATTATGTTGTACAGGACCTCATCAGGGGCTGCGAGAATGCGGGGCGGGGCTGGCACACGGGGGGAGCCGGGCAGCATCGACTCAGGCAGTGGCGAAGCGTCCTGGTTCCCCTGTAGGCCCACCAAAGAATGTTCTAAACCTTTCTCGGCGGCGAGCGAGGGGGGGAAAAAGAGAAGGGGCGAACCTTCTCAGAAGGCTCGGAAGCCCCCCCAGCCTTCTCAAACGTTTTCTGAGCCTTTCCCGAAGAGAGAAAAACTTCTCCGAAGGCGCGAGGGCTTCTGAGAAGTCCCGCCGCCTTCTGAGAAGGCCTTCTCCTTCTCATTCCCCCCCCTCGCTCGCCGCCGACTTTCTGATGACACTTCTGGCTGAGACTGTCGTGTTTCAACACATCGGGCGTATGTTCTAAGAACACGGCTTGCGTTCGTAGAGCATTGTGGGGTTCTGAGAACATGTCGCCGTAGGCCTATAAGAATGCTGGGACGGTCGGTCCCTGCTCAATGGACCCCCAATGGCTCATTCATCAGGTCCAGGGCGGCCCTTGCCAGGGACGGCGGCGGTGCGCAGTCGCGATGGGTTCAGATCACAACCGGTCGCGTGAGATCACAACCTGACGGTTCAGATCACAACCGTTCAAAGCACCAGGCACGGTCAGATCATTACCGAGGAGGAAGCCACTTATCATACTTGTATATTGCAATCTGAAATTGCCATGGACACCTTACAGGAGCAGATTCACGCGTGAGCTATTTCGGTTGTGATCTCGAGCATGTTTTACTGGA